AAGCGCGTTTTCGTGAGTGAAAAAGCCGCAAAGGATAAACAAGAACAAAGGAAGAAACCTAGGGAAGTATCGAGTAACAGCAACAGATTAGGTGAGCAAAAAATTCACAATTTTGTTAATATATTTATATATACATATAGTTGTACGTATTACAAGAGAGTTTAAAGGGCCAATATGTTCTTTATAAACCGTACAATTGTCAACAATGCTCAACCTTCTACACGAGCGTCCATCAAACATTCCATCGTTTGCGTGAAAGCTGGCTTAGACACCTACGCAGTCACGCATGCACGTGGGCATATTTGTCACACCGCGATATGTGGGTCATCCAGGAATAAGCATGCACCGCTGATCGCGAGTGTGAATATATTATCGAAAATCGCGAAACACATGTTTCTGTATTATCGAAAATAGCGAAACATGGCGCGTTGTAACGTGCCAAATTTTCGATATTTCGCGTGCGTGCGTAAGTTATGAATAAAATTGGGTTATTAATAACATCGATGATTTGCAAAAACGGCGATTTGTATTGCGCATTGTAACGTGCCAAAGTTTCGGTATCGTTTCGCTTGCGTGTGTAAGTCATGAATAAAGTTGGATATTAAAACAGTGATGATTTACAAAAACTGCATAAGTGCAATTTCGAAAATCTCGTCGCATTACTTATTAGAATTTCTTCATTGTTTATGTCACGTGATATGTGATATTAAAAGAAATCATGTGATAAGTATTAAGATTATATTAAAATCCACTTATGAAATTAATTAATAAATTAGCTTCATTTTTACCGGCCAAACAAGATTTTATTGTCGATTTAATTCCCTCTTAAGCTCTCTAAAATAATTTTTCTCTCTCTCTTGACACTTCTCTAATACTTACAATTCGTTAAATTCTTAATTATATTTAATGACTTTAGTATCAAGAGATCTCTGAATTTTTTCAGAAAATAAAAAAATATTGTTTGCTGAAAAAATATTATATTAATTATAATCTTTTTTATTGTTTAATTTAAAAATTTGTTAATTATAGTCTGATAAAGATCGAAGGGTTTATTTGCGTCGCGTGTACATACGCGTGTGTCGTCGCGCGTGGCGCGAGCCTCGACATATACACGCACACGGATTCCACGATACGACTCTGCCAAGATTCTGCCAAGTATCCCCCCTTTTCTCTCCCTCTTCTGCCTTGTCCTACCACAGTTTATTCGACACTTATGACCAGTTGGCATGGTCAGTGCCCTCCGAAGCGTCGTCGACTAAACATATGCAGTACAGTTTCTCTTTCACAACTCTCGAGAGTGAACTCTCATCTCGCTCGCGTCGCGCTCCGTGTTTTCTCTTTCTGTAGAATAAAATTATTGAAGTTATTTATATAACACACGACGAAGGGAAATAAAACAGGCATCGCACATTGAACGATTCCCGAGCATCTCACGGAAAACGCCTTGTATCGTAACTTCGTATGTTATTCAAGGAACTGTCAAATTCGAGTCGCATTGATTTGTCTAACTCTGGTATCGCGGGATTCACGCGAGTAATAAATTATTTGACCGTTTGGCATGAAAATGGTCGAAACACTTTTTATTTCTTGAGAGAGTAACTTTTAATTGCGACTTATCAAAATGTTTATAATACTCTTGTTTTGCAACAGATATATTATAATTGTTTGAATGATTATTGACATTGTTTTTGATTTATGCAGAAAAATTAAATTAGAAATTACTAAATAAAATATCTATAAATTATTTTAATATTTACTAATGCAAACCAATACAAAAAAGATAAAACGATGGAATAAAGCATCTTTCTCAGACTATTATAAGTCTCAAAGAACCTTTTTTTACACAATTTTAATTTGCGGTTAATGTTCAAATTTAAAAAGTCTAGCATACAATAATTTCCTTAAATTTTACTACAAAAGAATTGGCTCTACATTTTATACAAAAACATAAAGCCAATATCTATTTGGTGCCGTTTGTGAAGCAGCTTATACATCATTACGAATCACGCGAGAAAACTCAGTTGACCAGAGTTAGCGATAATTAATGTTGATGCAACATAACCGGCTCTTGAAATGTGTTGATCGCCGATGCGAAAGTCGCTCGCCAAGTAAATAATCTCGGCGAGTGCATTAATTCGCAATAATCAACGCGCACGGCTCTTTGTCTTTTCGAAAACGCTTTGATAAAATATATCGTTAGTTTGTTGCGTGTGAACGGTGTTTTTAATCGATAGCACAGGGTGTGTGTGTGAATATATATGTGACGCATATATACACATCGCTGGAACGAATAACAAATTTACAATATTCTGTGCGAGATTTAATTCAAATCTCGTTTTTCTTTTGCGTAAATATTTCTCGCGGATATCGATTTTGATAACGCGAGATGGACAGATAGAACGAAAGAATTAAAATATTCGTTATTGCGATTAGAACTATCAGTGGATCAAATCCTACATTATTACTTAGATACGTGGTTATTATTCGAGTATCCGGCTATTTAAAGCCCCAGACAATTCATCGACGATTGAAATGATGAACTGGAGCACAGGCCCGTTTATCATACATATTCAATCTTGTCGCTTAAATCATTTATACTATTTATGCGAAGTGTTTCTATAATATACTTTCTCATAGACTTATATTTATATATTTGCACAAAGACGTATTTTTTTACAGGCTCAGATTTTTTGATAAATTCAGAGGATTTATTTTTTTTTAACAATAAAAATTTTCCGGGTTATTTTTTGATGTTTAATGATATGTATGGTTTGAAATAAATTTGTAGTTGACCAATATTGTCTTTTGAAAGCTAATTTTGCAATGGTTGTGTCATGATAATCAATAATTTGCAAGGGGACTCAATTTCTGGAAAACCATTAAATTTTTAAGCAAATTGCTATACTTGATTATTTTTAGTTAATAAAAGTTCTACAAATATAGCAATGTTTGACTCGTGTACGCGGTTTAAAACAAACTTATGCGAATGTCTACAATGGTGCATTGTAAGTTTTGTGTCGCGTAGAATTTTCGTTCTTCGTAGAATCTCGTAATTTACAGTTAATTCGATGACTCGGTAAACGCATGAATCATCGCACTGGCGTTGAAATTGAAAGTGGTAGAAAACAACGTACCGACCTTGCAGCTTGCAGGAAAGCCGAAGTGATGTCGAAATTTTTCTCGAATTAATTATTTATCATGTGAATTTATGTTTTTAGTTGCCGTTATCGGCACTAGGAAAAAAAGTGAATTAAAATTGTCTATTGACATCGTGTCGCAACTTCTAGCCGCCAGCAGTTTGCTTTTATCAATTCACGTTGAAACGATTGAACTTGTTATTTTGTTTTACAATGCTCTTTTGAAGAGAACTGTAAATGTTTTTTTAGAACGCAAAATGGTTAACGGAATAGATTGTATTCAGATGAATAATCGTAGTTTATATTTGTATAAAGTATAAATCAATTATTCTATACATTTTTGTTATTCTTTGCTTATTTTAATATATTTGCTTTTTATCACAATTCTTTAACACGTAAAAATTTTAATCGCATAAAATCAAGACAATGATTACTTTTTTTCTGTTCTCTTTTAAAATATTTATTCCTTATTGATTTATATTTTATATTTTTCTTCATCTCGGAAAATGAAAAGGAATAATTAATTTGTTTACTAGTTCGCCCAGTTGACAAAAATACGTTCGTGTCAATTTCATGCAAATTACACGTGCAGAAACTGTGTATAGGCGTAATTTAATAATCCCTGACGCAACCCCAATTCATGTACTCTGACGTAGACTACCGTTTACTACGCATAAATCTCTAGCAAGATTGTAAAGCCTGCGACTCCGTCATAATAACATGTTATTTATTTTTTCGTCTTATTTGTAACAATGTGTTTGAACCTCTTTGCTCTCGTGGTTGAGCCGTTGCTTCGAAGACGATAAAGTTCGTCGTCGGTTTGTCGAACGAAAACAACAGTCCTCGAATGCCGCGGTGCGTTCTATTTATAACCTGACATCGCGGCTCTTTGTAGATTTGTCGACAGTCGAGAGTCACACACAACGAGCTCGTTAGTTCATTGATCATATTGTAGGACGATGATGTGTTTCTCTTGCGGAGGTACCATCGTTATATTTTAGAAATGCTCTTGTGATAAAATAATATATATATATATACAATCAGGGAAACAATCGGCAAATATCGGCAAAATCGGAAAAATTGCAAATATTAATCTAAAAAACATGAAAAAACATTATTGCAAATAATAATTTATAATTAATTATGAAAGAATTATGTATTATTTTGAAATTACAAATTATACGCTAAATTTATATAAAAATTTAATAAACGTATGAATTGCGAACCGTATACGTAACTAGTTGACAGTCAATTATTATTTGACATTTGTAATATTTTGACATAAATGACAACAAATTGCTATTTTTTAATTATACATTTATTAAGACGTGTTTTCAGTCAACTATAATGATCCACTTATTAAATTAATTGCATTTTTTTATATATGATTTTTTTGGGCGAGTTAGAGAGGCGATTGATCATTTCGGGCTTTCCAAATGAGGACATCGTGTAAATGCAAGTACAAAGTAATGCTGAACAATGTTTACAGAAACGTTAGAGATTCTTGTTGATAAAAAATGATCGAAATTCTTGAAATGGGAAATGAGAATGAAATCCTTGCCGTATACAAGCGCAATTCTGTTACTGAGTGGTTGCAGAAAACCGGACAAGCTGCAAACTATGTAAACAATGGTAAATTCTTCGATAATTATAAAAATTGTGGTCTTTCTTTAACTTTTTCGTCTCAGTCTATTCTATGCTATATATGTTTGTTTCTAAATAAAATAGAAAGTTTGTGATTTTTTGAACAATTTATCGCAACTCTCTCTTATTGTATTTACATTAATAAAAAAGAAGAGATACGTTACGATAAAAGAAATTATCGATCCTCCTTTAACAAAATTATTCTATTTCTCGTTGCAGGTAGCGAGAGCCCAGTTTTCGGCATCGAAGGTGGTGGAACCGGTACTGGGGGCGGCAGTAGCTTGAGGCTTGCATCTGAGCTACCGAACGAGATTTCGGCGCCCTACGAAGTACCACAATTCCCAATCGAGCAGATTGAGAAGAAGCTTCTAATTCAACGACAATTGACCGTCAAGTAAGTATGATTAATCCTAAACTGCATGCCTTTTTGAATCACATTCGATTCAGGTCGGTTCAAACGTAATAAAAACTTTGGATTTAATTATATATGTATAGGCAATATTTAATATATAAAAAAATATGCATATTTTATATATGTAAAATATTTTGAAGATTTTAATCATAGTTTAATTTAAAATGTAAATTAGATTTTAATACATTACGATTGAGATATAATAAATAATTTTAGGATTAATTTGAGTTAATTTCACATTGATCTCACATATTTATTGAATACTTTCTCGTTAAAAGAAGTTTGTTTCGAAAAATAAAAACGATGCTAATAACAAAGCAGTGATAAAATCGTGATCGCGATACGACTATGCGGAAGGCACTAAAGCTAATCGAAGAATATGAAGTGCTGGTGTGTACATACATACATGCACTATCATATTCGAGTATCTGGGAAGACAGAGTGCCGTAAACTTCATACAGGGTGTTTGCGATGCAAGTACTTATTGTTAAGGGAACAAAAAATTCTAAATTAAAGCCTAATAAAAATCGATAAACATATAAATTCTTCGAAAATATCTTAAAAAAGAAAAAGCTTTTCCGAAAGGCGACGGCGCGTTTAAAGAGAGATATCGTGCTTTAAATATTTTTTAAATAAAGGCCAATCTCTCTCTCTATATATACATATATATATATATATATATGTATTATGATGTGCCATATTGATTTAAACATTCTGACGTTCTTCGAAACGGATGATCGGACATACTGTAGCATGTCTAAATGTCGTGATAGTCGCGTATCGTATATCTCAGGTGGCTGTATCATGATCCGTTAGGGAGCTTTTAGGAAAATTAAGAAACGAGTAAAGAATCACTTATTCTTTGCACGATATACTATTACGTTACTATTAATAGTATTGCAGGATATAACATTTTTAAACACGTTCGATGAGAATATCTCGAACGATTGCTTTAGTTTTTCATTAAATGTATTCTTTTAAGATTTTTTTTTTTTTTTCAGAACTGCTTCATTTTTCAAAGAATTTCTCTCATGCTCACGTAATTTTTTAATTAAAATTCCAACTTTGTAAATTATTAAAGTTTATTAAACAGACAGTTTAAAAAAATCGAGAAATATTTAAATTTTAAACATTCTTGCATAACGAATCTATTCTTATATAACAATGTTTTATAGTGAAATATAGGTAGTATGGATTATCAAAGAGAGAAAGAGCGACATTATATTTTTCAACGCGACAATCGAGCGCCGATGCGTTACTTATTGTTAGTGTTGTTCTACTTCCTGCGATGTGACGGAACAATAAGAAACATTTTATATGCAACGTACATTTTTATGTACATACATTGTACATAGAAGGCCAACTCGGTAATGTTCGTCGAGTCTATGTCGCGCGAAGCAGTTTGAAATTATTTTTAGATATCTCTCCGATGCCGTAATGCGTCATATATAAGTATATGAGCTAAGGATAAATGGATAGGATAGAAACTGATAAGTCATGTCGCCCTTGCTTTGATTGAACCGATCGAGAGGGACATTTTGAAAATATTGCGTAAGCAATGCCAATTTATTACTCAATGAAATTCTGTGTTCCTTTCAAATTTTTATTTGATCATCCGTGCTTTTTGTGTTTTTGAAATAATCAATTATTTTTAATAATGTAGTGAAGTACTATTTTGTATTATATAAGAGATATTTCTTAAATATATATACATGCATATATTTCTATATTTAATGATTTGAATTTAATGCAATTTAATTTAATTTGAAATATATTTTTAACAAGATATCGCGACACACACACAAAGCTTTAACTTAATTTAATACAATTAATTAATATTGGTAAGATCATTCATAGTGCAAGTTTAATTATCAATCTATAAATATGATAGTAACGATACAACATTTATCATTCATGTTATATCTAAATAATCTTAAAAAAATTCATCTTATGTTCGGTCTTTTTAAATTTGTTACATTGTTTAAAATAGAAAGATTAGAAAAAATATAAAAGAGTGATAGATAATCGTGATGAACATATTGTCTGATAAGCACATACATTTTATTCATAAACACATCGCGTTTGATTATGAAATATTTACATATGGGAAGAGGAACGCATCTGGCGGCCATTCGCGTATCATTTACGTCAGTTACGAGAAATTTTTGTTTATCAATTACATGATAATCGGGGAGCAATCACGAATTACCTTGGAACGGGATCGTTGATGACCGATAAAGTCATCGTCGTTGTCGTGAACAGAATTCTGCTACTGCAGCCGATAAAGCTGCGATCAATAATTCAACGCAGGATGTGTGCCTGTCTGGCCTCGAGCGCTTAATGTAATACGATAATACAATTCGAAATGTGTGTCATAATCGTTGAGGGTTACTTAAAGAATAAAGTTCCATATTACAAGTAAAATCGATTAAATGATTTGAAAGATAATTAATAAACTTTTTTATCAAGGAAAAAGGATTCTCGTCTTTCGTAACTTGTTGAAAGGAACATGTACAAACCTTGTTGTGAAACAGTTTGTACATGAGGTGACCTCCATCTCAAAAATCGATCGTAGCTGGTTTTCATAAAACAAAGAATAAGCTTATTTAGGGCAGTTTCCCGGTCATATTTCAGTCTCCAAATGGAAAATGTTCATATTTCAACGATATTGAAGCATTTCCCATGCTACCCCATAACATCTATCGATGTTATTCGATATCTTCTATAAAAGTCAATATTCTGCAATATTGTTGATAATATTCAAGATAAAATAACGATGCAACTATAAATTATCAGAAGCTGATTTTTTATCACTATTGTAATATGCAATATATATATATATATGTCTGCATATATATATGTATGCTGTTTTTATTACGATATTTTGACAATGTATTTAGTATATGTAAAGGTATGATATTATATCTAAAGATATGGTATATGTAAAGAGAAGTTTCGTAAGCAGAAACCATGTATCAGCCGTCTTTATATGCAATCAGAGAGTTCGTGAAACGTGGGTAGGATGGTGAAAAGAGAGAGGGAAAAGAGGTTGAAGGGGTTGCTCGTGCTCAGCCCTTCTTCTCGGTCGCCCGTTCAGTGCTCGTGCGACTATCGTTGATACAAGACGTATACTCGGCGGCGTATTACGCGACTTCCGACGAGAGAGTTGCGCAAGTGCGTGGAGAGTTAGATATCGTTTGCATAATAAATCCGATATCGTGTGTTGTATCGCGAAAACAGTAATATATAACCAGCGAATTATAAGTATGGAAAAATTGACTTTTACGCTAAATCATCGCTCCGATAATTTACAGAAATTGTTTCAACTCATCAAAATCTTACGTCACCGAAATTATATTAATTTCGATCGCTGATCGCAACATGTAGTCGTCATATTCTAGCGTAACTGCGTTTTATGCCATTTGCGTAAAAAATTAAAATTGCATGCCGGATATACATATATATATTTTATTTATGTACATATGATTAAAGTTCTGTGTTTAATCCATTTTTAAATCTGGAATTTTGATTTGTTGATTCTTCCGCTGCAATGCAGTCATACTAGAACTACGAGCTTGCAAAAAAAAGAACGCATTTGTATCATAATGAAACATCATCACGCGTTCAATCTACGTAGATAAAGTGAATTAAAAAATTCCTCATTATAATATCAGTGCGTCTGCAACAGCATTAATTTTTATGCGAATAATATTTACGTTAGACAAGATCAAACCAGATTGTTCAATATTAACTGATTGAAGAGGGACGCCTCTCTCTCTCTAGCGTTTAAATATCGCGTCAACAGCATTAGGTGACGTGGAAACATGCAACACGAGATTCTGAAGTTTAATTGAAAGGATTCTTCGGGAATTTGATTGAAATTTGTAACTTTTAATTAATGCAATTTATTAATCTTGTATTTCTCATAAATTTTGGATAACTTTACACTAACTTTATAACTTACACTATATATTTATAATAGTTCATATTGTTTATATATATAATTAGGAATTAGAAAATTAGAGATTAACAAGAAATTATTATAATAGAATCATAAAGATTAAAATTTAGAAAATAAAAAAATCTTTGACAAAATATATATGTTGAAAGATCTCTGTGAAATGGGCCCAAACTATTTTCAAAATATGAAAAAAATTATTAGATTTCTGGATATTTGTGTAGAGAATTCTGAAGTTCTTAATCGATTTAATAAAGACTTTTGTCATTTAAAGTAACGAAATTATCACATAAATTGAAAAATAGTATTTATTATTTAAAATTCTCTACTATTCTAATGTGTTTACAAACTTTTTAATTGTGGGCTTAGAAAGATTTATCGCGTTGAAGATAGGAACAAAGATGTAATAAACGCGTTACCGCAGCATCGTATAGGATGCTATTATACTGCAGAATTTTGTTACTCTTTCACGACTATTTATCAACCAAGTTAGGTCGCACTAGTGCGAAATACAAAATGGTAAAACATCGATAAAGAATATAAAATAATATAATATGGGTTAAAAGATTGAAAGATTATTTATATACCAAAAAATATCTATAATCATGACGCAATTGACATTTCTTTGCTTCATATTTGCTCTTTTCCATATTTATATAAATATCCAGAATAAAAAAGTTATAATAAATAATATTTTTTTTATACCAATTTATATAAAAAATTAATTTTAAATTTAAATGTGAGGAATTTGACTTTAACATTTTGCATGATAATTGCAAATAAAATCTTATATGAAAATAAACTTTTCTGCAAGATTTTATTTCACCTAAAAAAAATTCCTCGAAACATTTTTCTTCTTTCTTGACAGAGCTGCGAAGGATCTTGAGGAACGTCGCAGTCATTACGAACCATCGCTCCATCCAGGAGATCCTGATGACAACGATTATAGTTTCAAAATCGAAGAAAATGACTTCGTGCCTCACTTCCAACGGGTTTCCATATCCGGCGAGGACACTTCCGGAGTGAGTCTTAGAATATTGACAATCTTAGTTGTGTGATAGATTTTTAATAAATGCGCCAGGATTTTTTATGACTGATTTTTTCGAAAATGATGTGATTGCTGCATTAATTATCATTTAAACTACGAGAGTTAAAATTATGACATAATTTGCAAATGCACATTATTGCATCATGTGAATATTTAAGTTATTAAATTTCATTAATCATTGAAATACAGAAAAAAGAGTTACCTGTAGAATATTTTCCGAGAAATAACGATTTTGTGCGAGATATTAATTATATTGGGACATTTATTGTTAGTCGAAACATAACTTTAGCTTTATATGTTTCGAATGTTATATCATCTACGACATGTCTTTTTAAAGATTTTGTATGAAGTTGAAACCTTGGGACTGCAGCGACTTACGCGAGAAACCTTTGGTTATCTAGCTGTCTCTCTCGCCCCTTTATCCTTCACGTGTTCAGATTATTCTATATAAGAGACGTTCTAATCTCTAAAGAATCGAGTTTCTCCACTCAGCGACCTTGATGTCAAATATATTGAAATTATTTTTGAGCTTGCATAATTATTAATTTTACAGTAGAATTTTTATATATATATGTTTTATATGATTTTATTGCATATGAAATGATTATGATAAGAAATTTGTCTTAAAAAATTATTTTGTGGCTTTATGTATCCAAAAATGTAATTATTTTAATTACAGATTTATATAATCACATTTTCTTTTTTTATAAATTTTACGTAGGTACCTCTGGAAGATCTTCAAAGGGCGTCAAAAATGCTGGTACAGGCATTAGCGATACGCGAGAAATACATGAACAACTCCAAGCAGAGTTTCCCCTCCATTACGTCTAGATTCTTACGTAGTGTCGATAAAAGACCAACCACCATGGACGACGAAGTCCACCACGATGATCGAATGGCTATCAAAGGTAATTATTGTTAATCGAGGAACGGCTCGAATCTCAAAGTTGTGTGTGAGAAATTCAAATCGATGTTCTACATCCTTGCCCTAGATATCCCCGTTTCTTTCTCGTTCCTTTGTCTTGACACTAAAAAAGAAGAAATAATACTTGATTGTCGTCTCACGAAACATTATAATGCAATTAATACTATTGTTTAGCACTTCAAACGCCGACAGCAAAATCGGTCGACGTCAAGATATTGTTTATGTATTGTGTAATTTTTTCTTTTCTTTTTTGTCGCAACGCAACGCAACGGTACGCGGTGTGTGTATCCAATCATGCAGCTCTTTATGCGGAACATCATAAAACACAGTTTCACTTTAGCGTTATCAAATTCTTAGCATATATATGAGTTAATGAGAAGTATACGATATTAGTTTTCTATATTTCTTAAGGGAAAGGGCTGCTGGATATTGTGAACGAAATCCAGGAAACTCGGTCTGACGCAGACATCGACGCGCTGATCAAAGACATCTCTCGGACAGGTCTTCCTAGTGCCTATTATCCTTGCCTTGAATATCCTGTTGCACGCTGTTTTGAATTATGTTAGCTATTTAATCATAGTAGAGTCTCTCTCTCTCTCTTTTCTCTCTCTCTCTATCTATCTTTATTGCGCGAGATGATTTTTTTATATCGAAATAAAATAAACAGCGCTGCGGCAACAAATAGCTAGCGCGCTAAATGATGCTAATGCACGCTTCGATTGATTATCATCAGATCATCCGGTACATGCGCCCGCGTCTCGGGGCGATCCATGGGATTGCGAGTTTCCACCAGCGAAGAACTACAAGATTTTACCGGTCAACGGCGTGTTCAATATGTTCGCTAACGACGAGGATCTGGCCAATGGCAAGCCACTCCCATACTCGTATCCGGATCTGGCGACCTTTGTCCAAGAAATGAATCTTTTGTGTACCATGATCGCCGACGGACCCCTAAAATCCTTCTGCTACCGTAGACTGAGTTATCTTTCCTCCAAGTATCAATTGCACGTACTGTTGAACGAGCTCAGAGAGTTAGCGAGTCAGAAGGCGGTGCCGCATAGGGACTTCTACAATATTAGGAAGGTCTGTACGCGAATAGTTTGGAGTGCACCGGAATCATAATTTATAAGGAACCGTTCTTAAAGATGAAACATTGCGATATATATTATTTTATATTTAACATGCTATCTTATCAGAGAGAAACGGAATTACACAGTTTCAAATTAATTTTCATTAATCAAAATGTGATCACATCATTGATTTTAATATTAATGTTTAAAGCAAAACTTAATATAGAGAAACGACGAAACTTGCACGTCAATCTAATAATGAAAACTTTATAGTTTGCAAAGTTTGAGAAAAAAAATTTATTTACACACCGATATCTCGAATAAGAAAGATTAAACAAGATATTAAATTTCTACTTTAAGTTGATTATTTCCGCTTCCTATGCGTTAACTTTAACATGCTATCGAATTGCGCTATTTTAAGATCGATTTCACAGGTCGATACTCACATACATGCAGCCTCATGCATGAATCAAAAGCACCTGCTTAGATTTATCAAGAAAACGTTGAAGAACCACGCAGACGAAGTGGTCACTTGTTCCAAGAATGGGGAAACCATGACACTCCGTGAAGTTTTTCAGTCTATGAACCTGACCACTTACGATTTAAGTGTCGACATGTTGGATGTACACGCAGTAAGTGTCTTTCTGAGCGACATTTATGTTAAAATATATCAAGGAAGAGTTTTCGAAAAAAGAAGTATTAAAGCGCGACTTTTTTCCTTTTTTCGCAGGACAGAAATACATTTCACAGATTCGACAAGTTTAACGCAAAGTACAATCCAATCGGCGAGAGCCGTCTGCGTGAAGTTTTCCTGAAAACGGACAATTATCTGAACGGCACGTACTTTGCGAGAATAATCAAGGAAGTCGCAAGCGATCTTGAAGAGTCCAAGTATCAGAATGCGGAACTGCGCCTTTCGATCTATGGCAAGAGTCCAGAGGAATGGGACAAGTTAGCCAAATGGGCGATCCAGGGTGATGTCAACTCGGACAATGTGCGCTGGCTTATACAGATTCCTAGATTATAGTAAGTCTATATGGTATACGCGAGGCGCGAAGCTTAGCTGCGACAAATTTTCACCGTTTACATTTCGTACATTATAGCGATATTTTCAAGCTAAACAAGCTTATGACGAACTTTCAAGAGATCATCAACAATATCTTCTTGCCGCTCTTCGAAGTGACCAATAATCCCCATTCTCATCCGGAGCTACATAAATTTTTACAATATGTACGTTTTATTTATATTCTTCTTTTCCTTTTAATCCGTTTATTATCTTTTTCTCTCTCTCTCTCTCTTCATACTGTCTTTCTAAATATATTTTATATTCGCTATTTTATTGTCATGACAGGTAATAGGTTTCGATTCCGTGGACGACGAAAGTAAGCCGGAAAATCCTCTCTTCGACAAAGATGTTTGTCAACCTGCGGAATGGGATGACATAGAAAATCCTCCATACGGATATTACCAATACTATACTTACGCGAATATGATTGTTCTCAATCACTTTAGAGCGTATGTTGCTTGCTATAAAATTCTTCTATATATATTGTTTAAAATAATTATCTTGTAAAATATCCTCGATTTGAGATCTTTTACAGGGAGCAAGGCTTAAATACGTTCGTTCTGAGACCTCACTGTGGCGAAGCCGGGCCTGTTCAGCATTTAGTGTGCGGCTACATGATGGCGGAAAATATTTCACACGGTCTGCTGCTCAGAAAAGTCCCCGTTCTCCAATATTTGTATTATCTGGCGCAAATTGGCATCGCGATGTCGCCGCTCAGTAACAATTCACTTTTCCTAAACTATCATCGTAATCCGCTTCCAGAATATCTTGCTAGAGGACTATGTGTAAGCTTATCCACAGACGATCCTCTTCAGTTTCATTTTACCAAGGTAAATAAAAAATACATAATTATACAGGGTGTCCCAAAGCACACTTGACAACGCTCGTGAGCAAGTAGAGCACAGTAAACTGAACAGAAAAGTCCTGTAACATTTTTTTCTATAATACTTAATAAAGGAGTTATTATTGAGTAAAGTATGGCCAATCAGCGTCGACCTTCAGCCGCGCACCTGGTAGTGTGCGTGAGCGCTCCATCGCTACGGTGACGCACACTAACAGACGGGCGGCTCACTGACGTGCGTCCGGCTAAAAGTCTGCGCTGATTGACCAGACTTTACTCAATAATATACTAATATTTAAGCGTTATAGAAAAAAATGGTACAGGACTTTTCTGTTCAGTTTACTGTGCTCTACGTGCTCACGAGCGTTGTCAAGGGTGCTTTGGGACACCCTGTATAAATGGAAGGGAAATCGCAGGCTGAAAAGTGTCGAAGGAAGTGAGAAAGAAATCGTAGTTGCCTCTCTCTTGTGAGTAACTACACATAC